AAGCTTTAACAAAAAATTTTTCTTGCTTGGTTATAAATAATATTTTAAAATTTTTTTACCTATTATCATAGTCAGAAAACTGCAACTTGGTCATTTCAAAAGGCTTACTTGGAGTCAATGAAGGCTAGTAGAATAAGTCATATAATTAAAAACTTAAACGAATAACAATTTTTATAGAGAACCTGATTTATGTTATTTTGTTACTATAAGATAAGTATAAATATAGTTGTTATTTTTTATGTTAACTTTGTTCTAAAATTAAAGAAAGAATAATACAGATAACCCTCATTTATATCAACTTATTTGAGCTAATTTTAAATCATGTTAATAGTGATATTAATGAGAAATTATATTAAAATTGATATATATAAAGTATTTTAATATATAAAAATTTTTCTTGTAACTTAGATTGATATTAACAGAGTTGACATTAACAAGAGTTACCTGTATTTATATATATAACACTGCATTTTAACCTTATAACTATTATATTTAGCATATGTAAAGTATATTTAATTGCTTTTTTTATTTTTTTATTTTTTTATTTAATAATAAATATAAATTAAAAATCTATAGCCTAACAACTAAAGTGAACACAAGAGAGAAAAACATGTAAAAGTGAAACAAGTTGAAGAGCTATAGCTCAGCAACTAAGATAGTCATATGAACAAGAAATATATAAAAGTAAATCAAATTAAAGAGTTTTAGCTTAGCAACAAAGATAAGCATGTAAATGAGAAACTTATAAAAGTAAATCAAGTTCTAGAGTAATTGCTTAGTATAAAAGAAAAAAACATAAATAAATAAAGAAAACATTGAATATACCAAATAAAAGATCTATTTTACAACAAGCTAGAAGAGCAAATAAACAAAAAAAAAAATATATATTAATAATGTTTGACATAATCTTGGACAAATAGACTTAGTTTATATTTACTATAAAGCTTTTTATTTGTTGAATAAATGTTTTTTTGCCTTTTCAGTAACAAACCCAAAGTTTAAAAAATGTTGTAAACAAGGCAAAGTTATTCTTTTCACACTTTAAGACTCTTCTCCATTTTTGTGACAGCTTTTTGAAGACCAAGACCAACAAAGCAAAAAGTTTTATTCAAATATTTGCCAGTATAATGTAGCATACATATTTACATCATTAGATGTTACTATCAATAAATCCATTTTGAGTGGTTGAGCTTCATATTGTTTTCATACTTATAGTAAATTGTTCTACTTATCAGAATTCCTTCTTCCTAATTCAGCCTTGTATGCAGATTATTTTTAACTTTATATTTATAATCCAGGTTTTATACACCAAATAAGGATAGGAAGAAATAATAATTTGTGTATTCAAACAATATAAAAAATTCAACAAATTCTTTGAGAAAATTATTTGTTTTATTCTAAATACTTTCAAGCTCATAAAATACTTTATCAAGCCTATAACAATGATGTTTCTGAAACAAATTTATTGATTAATCTTTATTTTAATATAATGATAGACAGACATTATTACAATTTTTTTATTTCAAATGAAGTAGCTGTTATTTTACCTGATAATGGTTCAGTTTTTGAGAGAATGCATAATATTATACTTCATTTACATGAAGGTTAACTTAATCACATTTATAAAGGCAATCTGGCATATTTACCATTATACTATATACTTTTCTTCCTATATGGTAAGCTTGGATAGTACTCAAAATTGTGTCAAGTTATAGTAAACATACATGAACAATATATTAAAGATTAAAGCAATGCTTTAAACTTTATACAAATAGACTTCTACTTATTTTGTTTTTTTTGCAACATGCAGAGTTTTCAACTATTCTTCAGAATAGAAAATTATTGCAAGAATTTATAATGAACATTTGGGTAGCTACTGAACAAAATTGCCTAAGATACTTGTATAAAAACTAGGACATACTAAGAGCAGATATATATTAAAGGCTTACTAATGCAGTAGAAAATATAGTAAATGATGCAATAAATTTGGCCAATCTTGAACATTATATAATTCTATCTTCAATGCATATTGGAAGCTCACATCATCTGTTCAAAAATTTTCAAAATTCTATGTTAATAACATGTTTTTATTATTATTCTGATATCTTTGGAACTATGATAGTAAATCCTAATTGGCCAGAAATTATTAATAAATTGCTATCTGGTTAGACATCTGCAGATAGACCTAATTTAGTAGCATGTGTATTTGAGCTAAAGCATCACACTCTTCTTCATGATATTAAGAATAATAATGTTTTTAAAAAGGTAACAGCATACATGTATACAATCAAATTTCAAAAATATAGACTTCTACATATATATTTTTTACTTTTTCTTTATAGTAATTATAAAATAAAAAAGCCAACTGATATTGATTGTATTGTAAGCTCTAAATTTCTCTGCTGAGATACTAATCTATTACTCTTTAACTTCATATTATACTGTATAGTTCATAGGCTTTGTAATATATATAATCCTAAGACTTTATGTATAGAAAACAGAAAATATCAAAAAAAATATTCTAAAAGTTTTAATAATATAACTTTAATGGATTTAGATAGTTATTTTTTTTATACCAGAAGGAATGATGAGCATACATTTAATGCTAGTAGCAAAATCATTGACAATAGAGATATTGTACTATACAATTCTTTTCTTAGTTGAAAATTTAATTGCTATATAAATATTGAAGTTTGTGTGTTAGTAAAAGTATATGTTTTATTTAAATAACTAGCTCAAATTAAACTAATTTATTTTTTTATTATTATTATATATTATATATAAAGTTATTTATTTCTTCTTTTGTGTTTTTGTTTTTGTTTTCTAATTTTAACTAACTTAAACTATTAATATTACAGTTTTTTTTATAGTTTTTTTTTTAATTTAATTTGTTTTATCTTTAATTATTATTTTTGATTTTTTTTTTAAAAAAATTTGATGTTTAATTTATTATTATTTTTTACATATTTATTATTTCTTACATATTATTTTTTATTCTTAATTTTTATTTTATATTATAAATTTTATTGCATATATATATACTACTTACACTTTTACTTTTTCAAGTTTATTAAATTATAATTGTAGATCACAGTTATTTTATTTAGAAGCTAAATACTTAATATTATATATTTTAAGTAAAAAATTTTTACTGTCCAAAAACTTTATACTAATTTTTTTTATTTTTTGATTCAAACTATATTGTAGTTATTGTTGTATCCTATTTTTGATTTTTATAGTAAAATTATATACTGTATTAAAAACAAGAGTTTTTTAATATTCTTTTTGTTTTACTTTTTTTTAATTATTTTTTGTTGTAATTATTTTTATTTTTTAAATTATTTATTTATTACTTTATTTATTTTTTTTTAATTTATTCTATTTTTTAATTTTTAATAATTATTATTTTTTTTTAGTTTGCTCAATCTATATTAATCATGATGTAATTTAATATATTTTATTTCTTCATTTACTAATTCAATATGCAGGCAATTAAATATATATATAAGTATATTTATAAGAGTCATGACTGAACTATCATATAATTTGAACATGAGCCAGATAAGATTAAATAATATCTTAACACTAGATACATAAGTGTATCAGAAGCAGCATGGCATCTGTTTAGAATGTGTTTATATGAAGAAGTACTGAACATTGTGAGGTTTGCATTACATTTTTCAGAAATGCATCAAGTTGTTTTTGATTTTGAAGATAAAGCTACAAAGATTCTTTCTCATGCAGACTGTAAAAAGACAACATTAACTGAATTTTTCAAGACTTGCATGTTTGTAGAATCAGTATGAAGATATACATATCTTGAATTTTTATAACATTTTGTATGAAATATTACAAGTAAGAAGTAAACAATTCAGAAAAGAGGTTTTGTTATTGGTAGAATATATTTTGCAAGTCCATTAGCTAGAGAATAGTTTTATCTTTAACTTCTGCTTACTGTTATTCATAGCTCACAGTTATTTAATTACTTAAGAGTAGTTAATGATATTTAGTATTTAATGTTCAAAAGTGCATGTATAGTACTTAGTTTTTTAGAAAATGATAAAGAATAGAACCAATACTTAGAAAAAGCTTCTGTTATATGCAGCAGCTTACAATTAAGAACACTTTTTGCAATTATTTTTACCCAATGTATACTAACATATCTAGAAAAATTATGGCTAAATTTTTGTACTAAAATATATGATGATCTCTATTATTGTTTGTGCCAAGTTTATTTTATTGAAAAACCTACTAATAAGCAGGTATATAATTATAGACCTTTTCTCATAAATGAAATCTTACATAGTTTGAATCATTCACTTGCTATATGTTCTTCAATGCTGTTTTGGGTACACAACTGGAAGCTTTCATATAAAAATCATCTTATTGCTAAATTGTTGGCATGTAATATTGAAGAACTTTGAGTTTTAGTTAAAAATTACAGCCTGCAACTAAATAGTGAACAAAATGCTGCTTACCACAGTATTCTTAGCTCAGTAAATAATAGACTTGGTAAATTATTTTTTCTTAATAATGCTGCTGGAACTGAAAAAACATATGTTTACAATACTCTTGTCATAAAAATTTATAGCAAAGGCAAAATTGTAATTTGCATGACCTTCTCAAGTATTGCTACTCTATTACTTACTGATGAATGTACAGCTTATTTAACATTTAAGATTCTTATTGAGATTAATGAAAACTCTTTCTGTTCAATCAATAAGAATTCAGATCATGCTAAACTGTTTTGGCAAACTGCACTTATTATTTGGGATGAAGTACCTTTATAATAGCATAATTGTCCTAAAGCTGTTAATTGAATACTTTGTGATATTTGTAATAATAATTGATTATTTAAAGGAATCACTGTTGTATTTAGTAGTGATTTTTGTCAAATTTTGCTAATTGTTATTAAAGGATTATGAGAACAAATAGTTGTTGCTTCTCTAAGGTAATTGTATTTATAACAATATATAAAAATTCTTATACTATAAAAAAATATGCATTTAGAAACTGAATCTAAAGAAAATAAGCTTTTTGCAAGTTGGTTTATAGAGGTAATATTGAGATACTTAAGTATATATGCTGTTAGTAAGAATGGAATTTAAGTGGAGTCTGATTTTTTTAATAAAAGTAAAATTTTATAATAAACTAATTTTATATAAACTAGCATTCTAATTTAAAAAAAATTTCCAAACTACTAAATACTATTCTTACAAACAACATATATATATATGTTTTTATTTTAATTTTCTTAGATTGAAAATATAACAAGTTTATTTGAGTTGCAAAATACAGTTTTATTTTCTAAACATATGAAAGTTGGCACTGGTATGCAATTTTTTATTAATACAGTATATCCTAATATAAAACTTGAAATACCAAGTAATAAATACTTAAGAGATCAAATGATTTTGTCTGCTCACAATAAAGATGTTTAAAATATAAATTGTGCAGTTCTTAATAGTTTCTTTGAAGATAAGTGAATATATTTGAGTGCTAATGATTTTATAGTAAAAAAAAGAGCTGACAATAACAATGTATATACTATTAAATACTTAAACATCCTTAATTCTTTAGGAATATCACATTCTAGACTTGATCTCAAAATCAGATATCCAATTATATTTTTTTGCAACCTAGCACTTTATAAGAGCTTTTGTAATAGTTTATACTTAGCAATAACCCATTTTACAGATTATATTATTAAGACATGTTTACTTAATAGAAATTGTGTTAGAAAATTAGTTTTTATTTCTCATATTATTTTGATATTATCAAATAACTTGCTATTCATATTTAAACATAGACAGTTTTCTGTTCATATTGCTTTTGCTATTACTAAAAATAAAGCACAAGGACAATTGCTAACACATGTTGAAGTTGATCTTCAAACAAAGGTTTTTCACATAGTCAGCTTTACATATCTCTTTCTTAATACATTTCTTTCTATTTAATTTATATTTTTTTGCCATCTAATTCTAATAAGTGTAACATCATAAATATTATTTATCCTAAAAAATTGTTGCTGGTTTAATTTGTTTAAAAGTGATAATGTAGTTATGTATTAACATAGTGCCCTTAGAATAAATCTCTAAATTACAAAAATATTAATAGTTAATAGTAGCATAATAGCTTTATAATTTGATTAAATTTTATCATAATGTTTTAATATTAACTAAAGTTGCTTACTTATATAATATTACAATAATTATTGTTAATTACATCAATATTATTATATATAATATAATTTTTATTATAAATTTATTGTAATGCTAAAAGTTGGTATTAAAAACATAATTAAATTAGTAGTTATAGAATAACAATTAAAGTTAAATTAAAAGTAAAATAAGATTTTTTTAGATGCTGAATATTTTACCTAATACATTTGGTCTTGGCTCTTTAAACAGTTGTAAGGTATAGCAACTAAAGTATTAATCACCAGTAGCATAATTTAATAATGCTATATTATAAATGTTTTTTTTCTTTTAAAAAGTAAAATACTGTTAATACTAATTGTATTTGTATTGGTTTGTTATATATTAAAGTTGCAAGGTTTTATTGTATTACTAATTAATGACTAATTTTTTTTAGAATAAAATCAATTAGATTGTAAGTAACTAGACATATTGACTATAGTTTATATATGCAATTGTTTGAGTTGTTAATAAAGTGTATATTTCTGTCTGCTCTAGACTAAATTATTAAAAGATGACAAGAGTTAAAAACATGTTTATAATTTTTTGAGCAACCTAGAACAATCTGATACAATATATTTTTTTAAAGTCATCTTAATAGTAAATTAAGTAAATGTAAATAAATATTAACAATCTTAAATAGTGTATCAGTTACTCTACAATTGTGTACATTATGTAATCTATGAGTCAGCTAAGTTGATAAGAGGTGGTTGTGAATATTTATAATTATAGGTATTATAATATAATAAAAACAAAAAATTAGTAAGAAATGATTTTATTTTGATCATAAACAACAAATCTTCTCTTTATAGAACTTGAAGTCTTTATTATATATTTTCTTTTACTTAGGCCATATTATACACTTTATTCTTAATATAGCACTTATATTTTTTATCTAATATATACTACTTATAATGTATATACTAATTATACTAATAATAATATTTTGATTATTATAATTATATTCTTTATTTTACTGATTCTTCTTATTATACTGATGCTTTAAATTGGAGCAACGTGACAGGTTATATGCTAGTAATAAATATAATATATAAAATACAATAATAAATATAAAACTACTAATATTATTATATACTATACTATGCTAAAAATCTATTTTGTAATAATGTTAATACAAATTGCAGATTCAGAAGACTTAAAATAAAATATTCAAGTAAAATGTTAGATATGTTAATTGGTAAAGAATTTTTAAATAAACTTCTTAAATAGATAATATAAAAAAGTTATATATGTAATCAATAAAAATCAAAAACCAAAAAGGTTATCTTAATAAAAAAAATTTAATAAAAATTTTATTATTTATTTATTTTATATTTTATTTATTATTTTATTATAATTTATTTATTTTATTCTAATTTAGCAATTTGTATATATTTATTGTTATTTTGTTTTTATATTATTTTGTATAATGCAAACAAATCTATATACAAAATCAAGTAACAATTTTTTATAATTATTGTTTTTTAAAAAATTTTTTTAAAATTTTTACTTATTTTTATAACTATTTTGCTAATATTGCAACATATCTTGTTTTTAGATTTGTTTGATTACTATTTTTTTTATTTGAAATATTTCTTATTACTGGCAAAAAATATAGTTTTTTTTAACCAATTTTTGTATTTAAATGATTGTTAAAGAAAATATTTATACTTATATTACTTTAATATTATATAGATATTATTAAATAAATATAATATATATAGTTTTAATATAAATAAAAGCATATAATATAATTAGTAATATAAAACTAAAAATAATGATAAAATAGTTGTAATAACTAAAAAATAAGATTATTATTTAATAATTTGTATTAATAAAGAATAAATTTCTTGAAAAATAAATATATACAATATATAAAATAGAATTACTTAATTATTATATTAAAAATAATAGCATTTAGCAAAGGCATTAATAAATAATTAAAAATATAATTTCTTTTTTTTTTGATATTAAGGTGAAATATAATTTTTACTCAAATACATAATTAAATCTAATTAATAAAAAATAATTAAAATTAACCAATCAAGTGAATGTCTTCCTATGAGTAGCTACCTAGTAATATTAAACCCGGGTACCATTACTATGCTAATAACTATATAATAAAAAAATAATAATGTAAAAGTAACTTTTAATATCAAACTGATTAATTTTATTTAATGGTTATAGTATTACGTATTATAATACTTTGCCTTAACTCTTCTCATGAAACCTATTGGCATTATGATTTAGAACTTCAAATTATTAGCCTATATTATAATCAGATTTCTTTATTAGTTGAGATTACAAAAAATAAGGTTTTACAGATAAAAAATGGGTTAAGTTGTTGAGTTTGATTGATTTATTATAACTACGAGTTAAACATTCAAACCTCTCATCTAACTTCCGAATTACTTCGTGGATTACCGAATTATTGTGACAGTTTATAAAACAAGGTACATACGTATATTCATTGAATTTTTTTAGTATCAAGCTTTGCCAATTCGTTGCAAATCCATTTTTGTATTTGCAAAACGTTACTCTAATATGTCTTTCATATCGTGTAACATTCCTGTCTATCACCCAATCAAATTTAAGACTCCCTATGCTGGTTAATAATTTTTGATCATCTTTACTTTCACCATTTTAATAACTTGTGCACGTGATACGAGAAACTTTAATCAAGAAAACCAATACACTAACTTTGTGCTACATACTGGTATCAACAGAATCGCTTTTAAGACAAGTTGGTGAACCGAATGGATGTCAAACGTGAAGATAAAGTTAAGTTTTTAAAGTACAATCTAGCGAAATTTTAAACCATATTAAAGTTCTATTATAAACAATATAAAAAATTCGTGTAACAGTATTTTTCAATAGGAATAAACAATGAGCTTCACCCGGCATCTAGAACTTATATATGGTTGATTATTTTTACATAGTGAATATAGACGTTCTCTTGAAGCTAGAAATAGTTTTTACAATTTTTTTTTTATTAGTGAAACGTTTCGTTCTCAAAAAGTATTTTAAACCATATAAACAAGTTACCCGAGCAATTGATTTGCATCAGCAAATCATACGAATGTTTTCCTATATTATAAGGAGTGCATTTAGGGGGTTCAAGAATAAATTAATTGTTGGAGAAAACAAATTGAATATTTATTAAAATTAACATTTTGATAAAGGCGACATATGTCGTCCTACGGTTTTTATATGCCAAGAGATTAAAAAAGTAAAACAATTAGCGTTTATTCCCAGTTTTGGAAGTTGGTGTAGAATGTAATGTTTCTGTATATGTTCCGCGTCATTTTTTCAATTTGCCAATTATTAATTGACGTGTGTCGTTCGTAAATTAAAAGATAAGCATGTCATTTTAAAATCGGTACGCAATCACCAATTAATAAAAAAAGCGAATTTTTTTTTTTAAAAAAAAAAAAAATTTAAAAAAAAATCAAAAATTAAAAAATAAAACAAAATAAAATAAAAAATAATCAAAGTGAAAAATTACATTTCCTAAATGCTAAAATACAACTAAATTTATATATATTAAACGAATACATCCAAAGATTCATGTATATTTTAATAACATACTGTAATTAATAAGTTTTGCATTTTCACTTGTGCCGCAATCTGCTTTTCAACAACAACAGGAATCTGGGCTTATGATTCGTAATGCTTATTAAGAATCTATGTAATTAATAATGATTTTTTTTGCTTTTAATTAGAGATTGTACTCGGGTAAACATTTTTATTATATTGTTATAATAAATTACTCGGATAACCTGGGAATTTAATAATACCCGAGTAGAAATTTTCTTGACGGGTACAATCTCTATTTTTAATACTTTCTAAAGTGCTTGGCCATCTTGAGTTGAGAGTTTTTTTCTTGGCCTTCGTGTTCAGTCGTTTGATGTGCAGCACAAATGTAACAAACTTTTGTTTCCAAATTAGTCCTATCTTGCTTATGTGCCGTGCCAATACAAAAAATTTAAAAGTATTAACCACCCAATCTTGGAATGTCGGGTTGCACTGAAGTTCAAAATCTTTATTATGCTTAGGCACTCATTATAAAGACTTCTATTCGTCAAACTTCACTTGTTTTTCCTTTCGTTAATGAAGGTCTCTATCACGAGTCACGAAACCAAAGCCTCGCAAATCACATATATTGAAAAAAAAATATATATAATACGCAGTGATAAAAGATAAAAAAAGAAGCATGTGACGGGAAAACTACTACACAAATTTATTATCTTTATTATAAATATAAACGTAATCATTTTTATCCATCTTTATCGTCAATTATCAATGATCTATTACATTAATCTCCCCGAGTAATTTTTCAATCGGTAATTGACAGATTGAAAAATGACGTAGAACATATACGTACACGGATGAACCGAATCAGCCACTATAGTGAAGGATTTTTTCTAAATGATAGATTCGTTATTTAAAATTATAGATTCATTACAGTATATAGTCAAACCTCTCTATAATCGCAAGAATGCTTTAAAAATTTATGTGATTGTAAGAAAATGTGACTATAGAGGGGTAGCTATAGAGAGGCCTGACTGTATATCGAAACCTGATATATCGACCCAGCTACAAAGCTTCATTATATCGAAGTTAGAATTTTAGTAGATAACAATAACAGACAATTTATCAAAATTTTTAAAATTCAATAAATAAAGTAAAGATTTAACATTACCCTAAAGCCCTAGAATAAACAAGATAATTACATAGTTAATCATTAGTCGCATAATTCAGGGGTTCCTATGATGCGTAATTAAATTTAATTAATTTAATTGCGTATCGGTCATTTTAATCAGAGGCTGAATCTGTATCTAACACGGATGTATAAAATTTAACACACATAAATTTGTTACATTAGTTTATTTTTCCGATTTATAATTCAGCATACGTAGTAAAAAAATACTTTTTAAAAAATGGAAATTCTATTTTGACCCCACCTAAAATTTAGGGTTAGTACGGGGCGTTAATGTCGGCCGGTGTCAACATAATTTCGGCCCGTACTAACCCTAAATTTTAGATGGGGTCAAAATAGAATTTCGATACTTATTTTTTTTTAGCATAATAAATTTCACAAATCAAATCGTGTTACTTTTATGTAAATATTTTGTAGTTTAAAATTTTGTAACATTAAAATTTTCTTTATTGGGTGTTGAATGATTTGGACTATTAATTATTAATTTTTTCATGGATCAGTTTAAAAAATTTTGTTTAGCTTGTGAAGTATAAACACTTGAAAATTTGTGTTTGATATTGATATGCAAATGTTTGAAAAAACAAATCTAAGCTACGAAATCTAAATTTTTTTTTAAATATGAGGTGCAAAAAAAAAAAAAAATAAACAAACAGTAAACTATTTGTACTAAAATATATATATACATATATATATAAATAATTGATAATTTGTTACAACTTAAATAAATAACAGCAAATTAAGTAGAATTTTCATAATTTGGCCATTGCCCACTTGCAGGGCATTTGACGGCGCGCCAAGCTATGTTGAGAACCCCTTGTTTAAGTTGACCAAGTTGGGCGAAAGCACCAGGAGTTAAATCGATGCAACCCGGGGCACAGCCTGCACATTTATCGATAATTTTGACGATAATTGATTTCTTTGAATCGTTATTTCTGACCTCAAGACATTGGTAGCACATATCAAGAGTCGACATTGGTAGTGCTGCAATAAGGTCAGTTGATTTGGCATTGTAGGGCTTAAGGCCGTTACGTCCGTAGCAAGCAGCATTATCGAGCTGATCAGCCTCGTAGAATGTTGATTTGACATTTGATTCGCTTTCGTTTTTGACCGTGGTGATAGTTGTGTTTTTTGATGAGGCTTCTGTTGTTACACTAGTGCCTGGTTTATTAGGTAGTTTTGTCGCTGCCGGGGCTTTTTTTCTGTCTGCACCATCATCAGCCAAGGGATTTGATGTGTCAGTCGACAAGCTTGGGGTATTTGGAGCATTTAAGCCAGGATTGCTACTTTGGGGTTGGTTTTCTTGGGGTGGATAAGTTTGGGGAGTTTTATCTTGGGACAGATTAGGTTGGGGAGTGTTAACTTGGGGCGGATTAGTTTGGGGAGTGTTATCTTGGGTCTTTGGGGAATTTGCGTCAGGAGCAGAAGGAGCAGGTGTATCAACTGTTGTAGTTTCTGGAACAACTGGTGGTGCTGAACCTTCATCACGCTGACTAAGTTTTGGTTTAGAAGCCACTGCTATACCTTTTGTCCAACCATCATCATCACTATTATCATTACTTTCAGAATTGTTATCTCTTTTAATTAACGGTGCATTAACTGGAAGGAGTTCAGCTCGACCAGAATTCCAACCTTTATCATCTTTGTTATGATTATTAGCCTTGTTATTATTATTAGCTTTGTTATTAATAACTTTGTGTTTTCTTTTAAATAATGAATTACCATGATGGGGTTGAGAATGAGGTGCTGCTGAAGATAAAGCAACAACAGCAAGGAGAAGATTCAATGAAAGAAAAATTGAAAAGGATTTCATGTTTGAATGTGTAAGAAAATTTTTGTCCTGCGGTTTAGTAGATTGTCTCCAATTATATAGAGACCTTAATAGAGGTTTAGAACCTTTGAAACGGCTCGGGAAGTAGATGGAAAACTAGGAAAGAATATTTGACTTTTTTTTTAAAGTCAAATAAAGGAAAGGGTATGATTAAAATTTCGGTATAGATGTGGTTAGCCGTAAAGGGAGAAAGGATTGAAAATTTTTTAGTTGCTTGCAAAAGCAGCAACGAGGGGTCTTTAAGTCTTTTTTTAAAGTTAAGAACTAAGATATTAAGCCAAGACTCATTTAGAAATCGGATTTTCGTTTAAAAATCATTTATTCTCTTTGTCACATGCTCGTGGTTTTATTTGTTGGACCAATTATGTCGGTAGAAACTATAATATTGAGAATTACAGGCATATTTGCGTCAGACAAATTTATTGCGATCGAATTATTTGCATTATCTGTCTTCATTTCACCTGCACATAATTTATTCGCGAAGACACTATAATTTCATTCTTTAGGGTTATTGGAAACTGACTAATGATCTGTTAGAATCATGCTGATCCAGACAGGTTTATGCATATTGCATTCATATATTTATTTATGTAACTCTTAAAATTTTTTATGAAGGCATTTTACGATTTCATTAATGCAAATAATACATAATATCCAACGATAGTGTTCTTTATTGGTATAATCTTTTTTTAGGAGTTTTAATATAATTCGTGAGACAAGATGTAAACAAAAATGCAAGTAATCGTTCAATCACGTTTGATTGTTTGACAATTTTTTTCAGTTCTCGGTTTCGCTACCGTTATTGAATTTGTGAAATTGATACCCCTTTTGTTAATTTATCATTGCATGAGTGTAATTCTGTAATTGCTACCTTAACATCACGTTACTTTTTTTTTCAGGTGATGATCATATGTTATTTATATTGTGTCACCCAGGAAAATTATGATCAAATTTTGATAAAGATTGGGAAAATCATATGACAAATGATCTACATTCATGTACATGTTACGTATAAAAAATTGAGCATACATATATTTTATATATATGCTAAACTTGTTATTGTTTAGATTGTTGAAAATTGTTTAAATTATTAATTAAAATTATTAAAAAAATTATGTATTAAAAATTATTAAAAAAAATGTTTATGAAGAATTGTTCCATTTCAAGAGTAGTTTGATTTTGGATCCTGTCGATGTCGATACGCATAATCTGCATGTATATTACATGCATGCAGACTTTTCGAATTAATTAAACACTAAACAAAGATAATGTTATTATATTTAAAACAACGTCCTTTATATTTTTTTCTATCAAGTTACACTCGCTATGCACCTTACTTGTGAATAGGGATGCTATCGGCTCAGTCGACTCTATTCATCAATCAGTTTTTTATAATAGTAAATATACAAGTCGGGTTAAGCCGTTAGCATCCCTATTCGAGAATAGATTAGTGTAATTACAAATTTCAATTTTTTAATCATAGATAGCCGTTAGTACAATAATCAATTATATCATAATTCTACCACGAAGCCTGATTTGTTTGTCAATAAAAATTTTCAATTCTTTTTTTTCGTTGTTGCCATATTTTTTTTTCTAAAAAGTAAACACCAAACTATCAATTTCAAGCACCAATATCAATTCATGGCTAACAAGTCTTATTCTTACATTTTAGTTAAAAATAATTAGAATAAATGCTATATGAAAATTTGACAGTGAAAAATTCTTGATAATTGATAATTATCTTTTTTTTCTTTTCGTCTTTAATCGGTTGTTTTTATCCTTTTATGTAAAATTTGACCTCGAAATCTAATTAATATATGTTTCAAGAGAACAAACAAATAATGCATCATCACGTATATATACATACATACATACGTACTTTCTCCACAAAAAAATACAAAATCCTAATCACAAGTAAGGTTTCGTCACAGTTTGTTAACTTAAAAGACTTTTTAGCAAATTGTAAATAGTTAAATATTTATAACAAATAGACAATCCGATTATTTCTTTGTATTCATTATAGATTTGTCATGGTGAATTTTAGCTATGCATACGAAAAGTAGGGTTAATCATATCGTGAAAGAACAAGTATATATGGTGCATATAATACGCATTGCAATTGTGATGACAATCTTTAGCATTGGTTATCAACAAATCTGCAAAAGTTTATATATAATCACCAAATTCCGATAAGTCTGTTTGTATTAGATCCAAGGTAGAGTGCCATTTTGTCCACAATCATTTCACCGAAAATATTCACCAGTTATATTTTACAGTTGTTTTCATAATTAAACTAAAAAAAAATTGATATCTCTGATCTTGTACTAAAATCATAAAATTTTTAAAAAATTATGTCACCGTCTTTGGAATAACGTTCTGAAGATATCAACATAGTTTCTGAAGAATTTTATGATTCTTAGGACAAGACCGATGGGATCTTGCAAATAACGAATTTTCAGTTTGTCCCAAACAGCCGTAAAGTATAAATAAGGCTATAAGGAAAATTTATTAGTAAAATAATTTTTAGTAGTGTTAAAAAATCATGCCAGGAATACTAAATGATCCGGTAAAATATTGGTCATAAGTATCCTGACATGTTTCAATAAATTAAGATTGGATTTTTAATGAGTTTAAATAAATTTCATGGACTCGTAGCCTTCATTTAAACACAAGATCATTGTTGCTCTTATTCTTAAAGCATATGGACCAGATAGGAATTTTAGTCTAATTTTCAAGATAGGTTTATAATAAAAAAATCTATAACGATAATTTGCTACATGTGCTAATATCCAATAAAATTGTGAACATTTAAATAACTCGATTTCGTATATTTGAGGTCTAAAATTTCTTGCATATTGCGTAGTAAAGTATTACAATATTTTTTTTTACAAGCAGTAATATATGTTTAATGTTTCTGATATTTGTTCAATAATATAATTTGAATCTTGGTTCAATATTAAATTGGACATCAAACATAACCAGTGTTTATGATCTTATAATTTGTTATAAATTATAAAATTTACTATATATTATATTATAATACTGTATTTTTATAAAAAAATGTTTAATAGAATAAATATTGATTATCAGCTATAGAAGTAATTGATATTAATTAGAAAAATTGATGATAGTTATTATTGGTAGCTAATTAATCTACAATTGATTAAAAAATATTCAAAAAAAATTTTTTTATTAAATTAGTCTTTTTTAGAGTTGGGTTTTTTATTCAGTATTAGAAATTATAGAAACTCATAATCAAAGCCTCAATGAAGCCTCCTTTACATTAGAGAATACAATTAACTACACATACATTTTTGGTATCTAATTTAAGTAGTTCATCTATGGTTTTACACTAGTTGTTATATCTGCAATACAACTACAAATATTATCTATTTAAGTATTTTGTATTGCAATCCTTACTGTGTCACTAAAACATTTCTAATACACATGTCAGTTAAGAAGTTCTAGATGCTTATCTGTATTATTAAGACATTATTTTTTATTTTATATAATGCATTCTCAAAGACATTATTACTGAAGTTTTTTATATTATATATATAACTAACCTAGTTTTATGCAATATGTTATAGCAAGATTAATATTTGCAATTACAAATATTCTATTAAACTGTTATATTATATTATTTCTTTTTTTTTGAATATTAAGGTGACCTCTTTGGTCTTTTGAATTTTATTAACAACTTTTTTGGTAATAAAATTCTATAAACTAATACAAAAGAGTGTACAATTAGTTACACATATAACTTTTCTATATTATCTATTTAAGGAGTTTGCCTGAAGATTTTTTACTAATTACTATACCTAACACTCCTGCTTAGGTGTTTTACTTTAAACCCTTTGAACTTGCAATCTGTATTAATATTACTGAGTTATACTCAGATGTTCAGATCATTATTTCAACTTTAAGACTATTTTATTCTCAAAATAAACCTTCTAGAGTTTTTTGTATATATTTTACAACTGACCTAGGTATCTTTATAGCAGAACCAACACTTGCAATCAGAGTTATATTATTTAACCATTATATTCTTATAGAGTTTACTTGAATTCTAGCATCTATTTTACAGTATAACCTTAATACTTTAGTATATATCTACTTTTTACCTGACTTTTTACTAAATTTTCAATCCAAATAGCCTATATAAAACTATAACTAGTTCATTAGTATATTAGATTAGTTCAATATTCTTTTTCTCTAGTTTGTTCTGGTGATCTGATTAGTGGTACCTTTAAGACTTCCAACTTGAAAGTTCTTGTCTATTTAGCTACTATAACTAGGTATTATGATCTTGGTATCTGTTTCTTCAAACTAGCTTTTACAGTAGAATTATCAAAGATCTGATTATCTTTCTACTTAGGTTTTTTTAAATGGACTTCTTATTATCCAATTTTAATAAATTTATATAGTTATAAGAACTTATCTATTGTTTGCATTATCTGATTTATTAATTTGCATTTCTTTATATAACAAGTTACATAGATGCTTCATAATCTGTCAATTATGTTAATATGATAAGTATCCTAATTCAATCATTAGTAACAGTTGCTATAATACAAATATTATATAGATAATTATTCAAATATTTACTATTGATAGAATTTGAATACCTAACCTACTACTTAGAAGTTGACAATTTGATCATTTCACTAAATTATTATATCTTTTTAATAATTAATTAGTAATAACTTGTAAAATAAAAAATTATAAAGAATTTTAAAAAAATCTTATTTGATATTTTCTAATTTAATAATAATTTAACTAATAGTTTATAGATAGTATATTAATTCATTTAATTCTAGTTAAGTAATTTTTTTTAGAATTTAGAATTTATATTTGTTTTTTATATTAATATTATAGTATATTAGTAGTAGTAAAAAATATAATACTAAAATATAAAAATATATTTTTGTTATAGCTTGCTATATATGTTTTTAATTTAATAAAACTAATTCTTTATTACA